TTTCAACTGTTTACATTTAGATTTTCCTTTATGGGATTCCTCCTTCCAGGAACTTTGTTAGTAGAATTCACAATAACAAATGACAATTAATAAAAAGTATATTTTAAAATCTATGTAAGAGTTTTTCTCATAGGAGAGGAAGAAATAAATGTCATCTAAAATACTAGGAAAGCAGATTACAAAGTGGTATTCTATATGCAATAAATATGCCAGCATATCACCAACTTTAAACTTATAAAATCTGTTAACTGAATAGAAATCAAACATAAGGAAATCTTTTAAAGGTATCAGTGCTATGGAATTATAGTGTTATTCTTTATCTTGTTTTAGTTATAACATGTACCCACCATTAGTTTTCAAGAATACTGAATATTTAAGCACCACTGTATGACACTGTGTGCCAGTGATGTACATGTACTTTCATCCTTTCAATAACCATTCAAGGTTAATATCCCCACTTAATAGGTGATAAAATAAGATTTCAGAAGATCACACAGCTAGTAGAGACAAATGGCTGGTATACAAATCCAAATATGACTCCACAGCCCAGGTCTTTCCTCTTCAACATTGTGCCATGCCAAATCTCATTTGAAAATCAAAAAGTAAGTTATTTATTCCCAAACAATTTGATATACCATATTTCCTAAGGATGGGAGAAAATAACTTGAAAAAAAAAAATCAAAAAAGCTGTTTTTCCTTTCTCTGTGACAAAAATGAATATCTAATCCAATCACTGAGTTTACCACAGTACATATTAAAATTTTAAGTTTACTTTTCATTGGGCAATAAAACTAAAAAAGCATTCAAGTATGCTCATTAATAGTACCAATTCACTACAATTTCAAAATCAGTTTGCTTCAAAAGTGTATTTTGTACCCTATGCTATGAAGGGCTGATATTGAAGTATATCATATGTAACCATTAAAGAGAACAGAGAGCACAAAGTAGTTGGCATACACACCTGGTATTACATGTTCTCTTTTAAAGTTTTACTCAAAATAGAAAATACTAATGAACCACTTGGGCTAAATCATTTTCAAATTCCATAAGAAAATAGAAACTTCAAAGAAACAGTGGGCTTTACAAAGAAAACAATATACATATGCTGCAACATGGATGAACCTCGATGATATGCTAAGTGAAATAAGGCAGTCGCAAAAAAAGACAAATACTGTATGATTTCAATTATATGCTGTATCTAGAGCAGTCAAACTCAGAAACAGAAAGTAGAATGATGATATAGAGACAGGGGAGGAAGAGAGAAATGAGTTGTTTAGTGAGTACAGGGTTTCAATTTTGCAAGACAAAAAAGTTCAGGAAATTGGCTGCATAATCATATGAGTATACCTAATACCACTTTGCTAAGAGTCAAATTTTGTTATAAGCATTTTATCACAATTAAAATAATTGTCTTTTTTAAAAAGATCCAATGATCTATTAATATGACAATGACACTGCAGGTATGTTTTAAAAACAAAATATTTAGAGATACATCTAAGTTGTTATCTGCAGGTCGATGGTATGTAATGTTCACTGTACTATTTTACTTTTGTAGAATGTTTACAATTTTTCTCAATGAAATAAACATAGTAACTTTTTAAAAAGGGAACCAATAAGGAAATGAAATTTCCTAACCAAGAGAACCATCTAGCATGAAAATATTTGATTATAGTTTAAACACGTAAGATGTAGTAACATTTTAGCCATAACTGATAAACATGTCACATCACTTATTTCACTTGAGAGAAAGCTGCTGAAAAACTAGATATTTACTGAGCTTGCATTGGAAAAACAATATGGAGAAAATTACATGAACAGTCTAAGTTTGCTATGAAAACAATGTACTTTTATTAAAATAATTAAAAGAAGCAACAAAAGGGAAATTTCACAAGCTTTGTTTGCAACTATATAATCTTTATGTAGAAAAACTATAAAGTGACAGTCTGATCTGGAAAGCAGCTCAACAATAAACCTAATCCTTACACCAAAAGTAACTAAATTATAAGAATTGGTTCACCCAAAAGAAACTGTCTTACTGTAGAATATTTTAGCCAAGCTGATTTCAACTATATTATTCTAACTTCTGACAAACTGTCTTTCCTGATATTTCAAATCACCAGAGATATAACAGACAAGAACCCGTTGAAGTAAAGGAATAAAACACAAATACTCCAAGCACAATTACATGTGACATGATGAGTGCATTTAATCTACAATCTACAAAACTATACAAATTACCAATTATACATATAATCCATTTACACTGAAGCTCCATGAGGTGGTACTGAATAAACACTGAGGCATCAAATTTTCAACAATGAACAAGGCTCACAGAACAGCAGCACATTCCCACCTTTTAGTCTATCATCACAACACATCCCCTGGGATTTGTACTTATTTGTATATCATAAGTCTTAGGAAGTTGATAACAAAAATTTTAAAAGTCAAAAGGATAATGAATTAAACACTCCTTAAAATCTATTCTAAAACATGCATGCGAAATATGAAGAGACCAAGCCCTTTGTAAATGTGAGATTTGTACAGTCACATGTTCCTTTAAACTTATACTAGTATCTTCACTAGTATCTGCACAATTTCCTGTTATTAGGCTTTTCACTAAAACGTAATAGAAGAGAAAAACAATAAACAAAAAAAACCAAACCTTATTTTTAAATTGTACAGTCTTAGAAAAGTGGCATTATTTATTTTTAAAACCAACCTTCTCTGCTAAAGAAATCACACTGTGTGATCACCAGAACAGTTTAAGTCACTTTGGCAATACAGAGATTTATTTACCCTTATTATGAATGATAATGATGATAAACTATTGTCACGGTCATAATTTTTCAGAACTTATGGGCCACCATAGAGGCAAATATGTACAGAATATTTCTAATAAACCTAAATTTAATCATGGTTGAAATTTCTCAAAAATATTTTCAAGTGCTCAAGAATATTAAAATTTGGGGGGAAATACATAAGTAATAAATAAGCAAGTATTCTCTCCAAGATTCAGTAATTGGGATAAAAGTCTCAGGGTAAGCCCACAAGAATGGTCTGTAATAAAGAAAAATCAAGGCCAGGCGCAGTGGCTCACGCCTGTAATCCCAGCACTTTGGGAGGCCAAGGCGGGCAGATCACAAGGTCAGGAGATCAAGACCATCCTGGCTAACACAGTGAAACCCCGTCTCTACTAAAAATACAAAAAATTAGCTGGGCATGGTGGCGGGCGCCTGTAGTCCCAGCTATTCAGGAAGCTAAGGCAGGAGAATCGCTTGAACCCAGGAGGCAGAGGTTGCAGTGAGCCAAGATCATGCCACTGCACTCCGGCCTGGGTGGCAGAGGAAGACTGTCTCAAAAAAGAAGAAAAATCATGTCTGTGTAATTTCTGCCACCTTTAGCAGAAAACCCAAAAACATTCTGAGCCAAACAAGAGCATCTTTTGAGTCAACACTTTTTGCTGTGTGAGTTCTTTAATTTCTAACTTCTCAACATGGTATAGCTCAGAAATTCCTATATGCTTACTATCTGTAATAAGGAACTACAATATCAAAGACAAAATTCACAGACATGATCATTTTCCATCATAGGTCTCTCTCTCTTTAGTAAGAAACAGACCACCACTTACTCATTTTCTCTCACCTATAGAAAAGAGGGGAGTTAAAAGTCATTAACCTAGTAAACAATCCCTGTGTATAAACATTAAGTTGGAGGGTAAAAAGCCTAAGTCATGCCCTTTATAAGAACCATGGATAACCACTCTGGCATGTAGCTGTGGTAGAGGACAGTAGGTGTCTATAGATGGAACATGGTCTTTCCTGTAACTGGAAGACCATGCTTATGAACATTCTAATCAACCTATGGAAAATCTGCTCTGTAACTTGAGTGTTCTTTAGATAAGAAACATGAATAATGAACTATTATAAAAACATGGTAGAATATCTTGCCCCTTATAAGTCACCAATTTCTGATCCCATTAAACTTTCATAGAATCCATGGGGTTATTAAGTAGGTTTACTCTAGATATTTTGTCATGAAGTAAAACTGGAAATAACCTATCTAATGATACCATTTGCAATTCAAGAAAATAAAATCCAATACAATCTAATACTTACATGAACACACTTCACAGAATACATATTTTATCAGGCCTAAGAAATCCTCACAAAACAAAGTCAGGTTCACCCACTGTAAGATAAACCATGATACGCATCTGAATCCAGATAAAAAGAACTGTTAAACTCCACTGCAGTAGGAAAAATATTACAAATAAGCACCCAAAACTGACCTAAAATTTTTTACTCAATCCTGCTTCTCCAGGATGTCTTTTTTTAGAAAGAGAAATAAGCACCCCTTGCAACTTGACTGGAAAAATTACCTGAACAATTATTTCTAAGCCTATACTAGATACCAGTGTTAAGATGGAATGCCAAAATCACCACCAATTCAACACTACCATTATTTTTGCAAAGTAAGGTAGTTATAAAATTCCATTCTCCCAAGCAATGAACAAGGGAGAAAATAATGTTACTTTTTAAATGGCTACATTTATAGGTTTTTGAGTATCAGCACCAAATGTTCACTTTTCATTATTCTAAACAAATCTTAGGAATTAATGTTTCCTAACAAAATGGACTAACAAAACAGTGAATGATAAGGAAATAACTGTCAAGCAATATTTGCATGCTGATAAGAACCATTAAGTGAAACAGTGACTGGCTCATTTCCAAAGCTATTATAGGTGTGCACAGTTTGGAAATAGTGTATCTCACTGCTCAGCTAATATAGCTACTCTCCAAATCATGGATACAGCATCTTAATTTGTGACTAGGCAAGATTAAGTAAAACAAGTTGAAAAGATTTTATTAAAAAGCAAACTAAATCAAAATAATCCATTGTTAGAATATTTTCCACTTTCTCTTTTAGGGAGGAAAAAAAACCCCAAACCACTGTATAAAGTACCTACATAAAAAACTGAAATCAAGATTCACAAATAATAGTGTCAGTTCAATTCTACATAACCCTTTATTATAATTGTAGCAATATTACGACCACCAACATTACACAAGTTTTATTTCTTCCTTATACCGTAGCAAATTTATTTTCATAATAGAGTTCAACTCTGTAAATGGTTTAGATCAATTTTTTGCACCTTGAATTTACAAACCATTAGATACTAAGTTTCCTGAAAAACATTTTATTTTTAAATTTTACTTAAAGCTATAACTAAACCCAAGTCTCTTGAGGGGTGGGGAGGAAACCAACTAAGCTGTTTAAACAGAAACTTGTAAAAAAATATTTTGATGCCAGTGTTTGAAAGACAGCCTACAGAAGATTATAAAAAGTCAACTATCATACAAGAGAATTCTATGGCCAAACCTTGTTAGAAAATTTCTTTTACAAATAAACTCCTTTCATGATAGAAGAGGAAATGAAGAAGATATTTAATTTTCCCCTAAAAGTAAGTAGTTACTCACAACATGGGTTGGATGTATGGAATACATATTGCTTCTGTGAAAAAATGTTTTATCCAGGCATCCCACTAACAAAACACCATGCCATATCTGCCTAGTCTTTTGCTATCTGGGTATTAGTATTACCCAAGAGAAACTTATCAAAGAAAATGGTTAGCAAACCATCAAATAGGAGTTTCAGGTCCCTTAATTTGGATAGTCATCTTTGTAAATAAAAAACTTAAGCTACTTTAACACTGGAGCTTATAAAGTGCATCAGGTTTATGAAACACAACAGTAGTACGAAACTCAGTAGGACTTTAAGGGACTTAGTATCACCAGCGGGGCAAAAAAACAACATTATAGTTTTCTGTTCAGATTTTATTTGAAATCTAATTCAAATTTTCAAAGCTACAAAAGGGGGGAAGACATCTGTACTATTTTTGCTAAGTCACAACATCCTAAAACAAAATATTACTACTGCCAGCAGATCCATTATACACATTTCTGATGAAATTCATTAGCACAATAAAATTTCACCTTTGAGAAATAGCCACAATGAAAGTAATTTACACAATATAAAACAATGACAGATCTACAGATGCAGTTACTCATGAGTTTACACATGCATTCACAAACAAACAAACAAAAAACCCCAGGAATGCTCTTTCATTTGATTTTTTGTTTTTGTTTTTTTAAAAAACAGACCGTTCAGGCACAAAACAAATGGCATTTCCAATAAGTGACAGCATCTTAAAAATTTACGTCAGTGTTTGTTTTTCTTTGACTTTTTATGAGACCTGTGTGGAGATCTGGACTGGGATCTGGACTTCTTCCCTGATTTTTTAGGGGATCTAGATCGTGACCGCCTAGACCTTTTAGGTGTCCTTGAACCAGATGGTGATCTAAGGAAACAAACAAAAAAATCCCAATTGATCAAAGTATTCATGTGATCAAAGCTGATTATCCTTAAACTATCAAAAATTATCTTTAACACAGCACAGTGAAAAATCACTGGAGTAGGACAAAAAAACTTCTAAAATTTAAACTCTGTCTATTGTACATACACACAAACAGATTTATTTTGTACTTACTATGCACTGCATCAATGATCACCGGTAAAGCACTTGTGTATAAAGACAGATTTCTGTGCCTTACCACTGCTCTACTGCATCAAAATCTCTAGAGGTTGGAACTGAGAATTTGCATTTTTAACAAGCTCCTCAAATGACTGTTAATCCCCAAATTTGAACCTTTAATCTATAAGATAAAGTTCAAAGTTGCACTTAAGATCATTCACAAAATTTAAAAAACACAGCAGCTTTGAAGTTTATCATCTTAAAGCAAACAACTACTGCAGTATCATTCAACAGCATCATTTAAGACTATAGTTTTTTAAGTGCTGTTCATGAAGATTAATCAATATACATGTACATATACATACATACATATATATCACATACATATATATGTAGGTGCCATTTAGAAAAGGAGAAAGGTATCTATTCTACAAAGATTTTACTAAAAATAGTTATAATAATAAAGCACTAACATATAAAGCAGTTTTAGCCCTCAGGAAAATTCCTCAATGTATCACCAGATAAATAAAACATTTCTGAACCATTTTTCTGGAACTAAAAAAGTATATAAAATACTACATACTTTAAAAATGGTATTTATAATATGTATTTCCAAAAATCTCTACCCAAGAACTTGCTAATAATATTGCTATGGGGAAAAAAAATGTGTGTTTATTTCAGCTTTGACAAAAATAAAAGAATATTCTATAGAAACTAAAGAACAGAATGAAAAGTAAAGCAGCTAACCCTATTCCACAGGAAACACTGGATATGATGTTTAAAATTCTTGGCTGATCCTCACTCGTTGGAGGCCTTATACTTCAGTCATGAAAGAGATTGGGATGAGGAGGTGGGAAGGAATAACCAAAAATGAAAGTGTTATCTCTTTGGTTTTCTAAGATCCTTTAAAAAAAAAAGTATGCCAACCAAATTATTTTCAAAAGCTGGTGAAATGACAAGGAAATTGGTATCTGAAATATTAGCAAAAATGACTTGCATTTACCTTTTGGCTTTTTTGCTAACATCTCTAGGAGAATCTTTGTGAGATGACCTGGACCGTGAGCTCTCTTTATGAGATCTTTCTGAACGCTCTGATCGCTCCGATTTTGGTGATGGGGATTTCACTCGTCTACCACTGCTACTGCGAGATGGGCTGGGGGATGTACTGTGTCGCCTCTTCCTATGGAACAAAGCCCCCAAAACATTCCATAAATGAGCAAAGGATCAGGTATTCATTTTCCTTTACTAAATTAGCTATTAATTCCTACCAGCTTACTCTAACTTTTGTTCTCACTAATCATGTAATGTTACTTTTAACAATATTCAAAGTCCTTTGTAGCAAGAACAAATAAGTCTTAAAGATAGGCTGTCAAGAGACAACAAACGAATTCAACTAAATTGAATTTTCTTTTTGCAATAAAAGATATTACTGAAACAATTGGCAAAATTTAATTAAGGTCTCTGGATTGAATATCTTTTTTTTTAAATGTTAATTTCCTAAACTGATATTTTTATTGTGGTTAAATGAATGTGGTTAAGAGAATGGGGCATCATGTTGGCAAATTATTCTTAAATGGTTGGAGGTGGGACAGAAGAGGAAGAATAAAGCAAAAGTAGAAATACTTTAACATTTGGGTAATGTGGGTGAAGGCCATCTATCAATTACACTATTCTTGCAATTTTCCTATAAATCTAAAATTATGTCAAAATAGTAATAAAAGACAAAAAAAGGTCAGACTTTTAACCAATTGGCATAACTTGTTATTTGTAACCATCTGTAGTGTGACTAAGCTAGACTTTTATTTACAATTGCTTGGTCTTTTTATTAGGAAAACCTCAGTTCTGTTAAGGGAGGCAATTTTCTTTACTAAATCAGAGATTTAGGAACTGTGAGAGTAAAAAATAAAAACAAAGAGAAATGCTTTTCATTAGAAGACTTGCAGTGAGCTACGGCCTATGTATACAATCTCCTTTCAAGATAAGACTGAGACTCAAGTTTACAAGTAGCAGCCTCAGCACAGAGACTGGAAAAAATACTTATATTGGATGCAACAAGGAAGATCTAGCAAGTTGTTTTGTTACTTAAGCCCCAGGTTTGATATCTAATACTGTAACTGAATTCTCACACTGAACTAAGGCTAAGGATACCATATAAACCGTGTAAAGGCATGATGCCCCAGTTAACTAAGTCAAAAGCCAACTAAGTGCCCCACTTGTCAGCTACTTCTGCCTCCTGCAGGCAGGATCCAAACAAGTTTATCATGAACAAACACTTCCAGTTTGCTGGCATCAATGATGAAGATATTATAAAGCACCATTACAAATCTTGAAACTAGTATATACATTAAATATGAAAAATGTTATACCTTTCCTTCCTTGTTGGAGTACACTCATCTTTTTCTTTCTTGTCTTTGGAGCGAGATTCTAATTTTTCCTTATCTTTCTTGTCTCTTTCTCGTTCTCTTTCTAACTCTTTCTCTTTCTCCTGTTATTTTTAAAGAAAATATTAAGTTGTTTAAAAATATTAATCTGGGTTTATAGAACAATCTCATTTATAAAACAGTATTTTCTTATAGGAAATAATTTTTTAAATTACTACTTAAAGTACAATACTGTTTTAAAAAAACAAAATCTACTCCTCCAAGAAAACTATTCATTTCTTCTGCTTGTACTGAATAAAACTAATCCTGGCAACAGCAGCTAAACATTTACTGAGTGCTTACCATAAGCCAAACAATGTACTGAACAACTTTCCACAGACCATTTCAAGTAATCATTTAAAGCATCCCTAAGAAAATTACTATTATCCTCATTCTAGAAATGAAAATGGAGACTCAGAAAGATTAAGCACCACGTCCTTGGTCACACAGGAGAGTCAAGTCAGAATTTGAGACCAAGCTCTAGAATCAGAGCTCTTCCCACGCTGTCCCACCTGTGGAAAATTCGAATCAGAAAAAGCTAACAATGTATTGCCCTTTCTATCATAAGTTACAATAAAACAGTCAGTAGAAAGTGATCCCTCTAAACTATAAGCAAGTTGATTTAATCAAAAACAGCTATTACCAAAGAAAAAAGGCTGGAAAAGGAAAATGGTAATTCACAATAATCTTCCATCAAAATTCTATTAGATTAGCAGGAAACAAGTACCAATTACACTGCAGTTTTTAAATCCTAACTTATAAAAAATACAAACTGACTACATGACTCTACAATTGTATAAACAAACAAACAAACAAAATATTTATCCCCAGATGCTACAACTGCCACTTTTGATTTAAAATTCTGATTTCTGTATATAATTAAATGAGTGGCTACAGACAATAAATCCATAAAACTAACTTAGTTCTTCACTAACAGGAATTTCTCAGATTTATATGCATCAAGAAAGCTATAGGTTAGCTGATTCTTCTAATTTTTAAAAGGTGAAAAGTGCCTATTCCAGGAGTTGACAAACACTTTTTGTACAGAGCCAGTATACAGTAAATACTCTCTACTTTGTGGGCCTCATAGAGTCTCTGTCACAACTACTCAACTCTGCCACAGCAGAGTGGAAGCCACCATACAAAATACTTAAGTCAATGTGCATGGCTGTGTTCTAATACAACTATATACAGAACCAGGCAAGGACCATATTCCTTCTCTCCAATTATAATCATAGAGCGCAAGAAGACTAAAGTGGTAATATGAGTATTATTCATTTTGTGCTTGCTACCATCAGGACCAGTGAGCATCTCAGGGTGTAATCTTCTATGCAGATCAATAACCTGCCAGCATTTCATGGAGTATAGGTAAGTAGCATCTTTTACAAAAGCTCACTTATATTTTTTCCAAATATATAGAGTGCAACTTTTAAAGAGTGGTGCTGAGGAGACTGACTTCCTCTGGTGGCCTGTAGGATGCATTTTCCTGATAATGAAAATGATTTCCTGATTAAGATGCCTATTTTATAGGAACCATACTACAAACAAAATACATGTAATATTTTAAACATTTGAATTCTATAACAAAGAGTAACAGTAATAATAGTAGCTATTATCTAACTCACAATCTTACAAAATTGGGAATATCAACCCAGTTTCAGAGAAAAAGCAGGCTGCAGTGACTGGCCTAGGAAAGCAGCCAGAATTCCATAGGTCTAAGCAGCACCACAGCTGCTTTACCAGGCTGCTCCCCATCACCAGTTTTGTATATTAACAGCTTCATAATGATTATACGTTCCCTTTTTATGGCTCTTTCCTATTTCGCTTTCTATATAATCTATTATTGGGGTGTTTTTTTTCAATGTCAGTCAAAATTAATAGCAGTCCCAACAAAATTCCTGGGATTTCTGGTTCTAAAGTTCTCTGCATATTCCTACATATTTTGTGATACATGAGAATATAAAGTCCCTCGAATACTCAGAACTCACCAATGAAGTATTCTACCACTTGCTGTCCCTCCATGGAAACCATGGGAAATGAAATAAACTTCTCAACATCAGAACTTCCCAAACCCTGCCTCCATCTTTTTCTTTCTGTACCACCTCTCAGGGTTGTTGGTGTCTCCCTGTCACAAATATGATTCATCCTGAGTGTTTTCCAGTTTTGAAAGCATGCTCTTAGCAGAATTAATCTTCTTGTCCACAGGTAGGACCCAGAATAAAAGTGTGCTGCTGCCTTTGAACTCCTTTCCAAAATGAAATACTTTCAAAATATTAAATTTCAAGTGTTTCTAATTGCCTACTGGTATTCAAAATTTACACAAAGGACGTAATTTGAAATCATCTTTGAGTATACCAATATTCTAGGAAGTCAAATAAATAACTTCAAAAAATGTGTATTAATGGGTATATTTATTTCTTACTCGTTGAAGAAGTTTATCTCTGTAGTGTTCTACTTGCTCCTGAAAACTCTGGCCTGGTTTTTTAGGTCTTTTTCCAGATTCCAGTTCATCCTGAAACTTCATAACTTTGAGCTGTGAAATTAAACATTTTAAAAATAAATATTTTCATCATTCTAGCTTCTCAAGCATTGTTTTGTTTCTTTTCTACAGCATAATAACCTATTAGTACTCTGTCAAAATACAACCTCACCTGAGGGCCACGTGTCAAACAAGCCCAACTACGTAAAAGTCAACTGATCAGACAGGAGCTTTCTGTGATCACGAGAGGACTCAAAAACCATGAAACAGGCTTCATGTAAGAAGCCTTTATTCTCTCAACACAATTATGACAAATTTGGTATCTGGTTCCATAAATTAGAAAAGCAAGGTTGCTAAAGCAAGGTTGCCAGCAAGATGTTACAATCAGCAGAACATAGATAAACATCTTTAAAAAAGAGGCAGGGGTAGGGGGCCGTGGCATTTTGGTTCAGCTCATGTAAGACCAAACACACAAAAGTGCACACAGTCTGAAGGTTCCACTCACAGTGCAATCACCAGACCTTAAATCACAAGGAAAGGTTAAATCATATTTGGAGAGTACTTTTACGACAGTAAGAGTAAATACTGATTAAAACAGACTAGGCTAGGCGCAGAGGCTCACGCCTGTAATCCTAGCACTTTGGGAAGCCGAGGTGGGCAGATCACTTGAAATTGGGAGTTCGAAACCAGCCTGACCAACATGAAGAAATCCCGTCTCTACTAAAAATACATCAGCTGGGCATGGTGTCGCATGCCTGTAATCCCAGCTGCTCGGGAGGCTGAGGCAGGAGAATTGCTTGAACCCGGGAGGCAGAAGTTGCAGTGAGCTGAGATCGCACCACTGCACTTCAGCCTGGGCAACAAGAACAAAGCTCCATCTCAAAAAAAACAAAACAAAACAAAACAAACAAACAAAAACCAGACCAGAAAAACTTCCATCTCTTATTTATCCTTCAGGATACCTATATAAGCTCACAAAGGTATTTGTATAAGATATTCATTGCAACATTGTTTTTAAAAGTAGAACAACTACATGTTTACCCAGAGATTTCTGGCTAACACACGAATAGATAAATATAATACACTTATATATTGCAAAGCATAAAGATCTGAAAAAACTAGTAAAATCAGTTACAGGGAGAGAAAAAAACTTGCAATAAGTGAGCGTAATTTTACTTTTTATTCTGGAGATTTAAGTATCTAAAAATTTTGTACTATATAAAAATAGTAAAAAGAAAAAATGCATGATTTATTTTGAATTTAAAAATAAAGACTCTACGAAGTGGTTAAAATAAAAACTACCCTAAGGCTTAGAGGAGCTTAAATTATCCAAAAAAATTTACAAGGGTGAAAATACCTTCCTCTTGAATTCTAAAGAAGGGCAAATAAGGTGAAAAGTATAAGGACCTGGAAGATCCTCCAAGTTGTAGAAAGCACATGGATCTTGGATGGTACCACTGGGCTGCCAATCTGCTCAATATTGTTCCACTCAAAGAGAAAGAGGAAGCATTCTCGTCTAATGAAATTCCTGTACATGCTAACAGTTTACCCTGTTTTATTCAGACACTGGTTTGTCCTTTAAATGGACTAAATGCCGCTACAGCATACTATTTATACTTCAAAAACAAGACCTCATTTGCTTTTTAATCCCTTTACTATAAATTAGTCTTTCCAACAGAATAGAAACAAGTTACAAAAACATTTCCCACCCCATTCCAAGTGGTATTTTCTTTTCTTTTCCTTTTTGAGATAGAGTCTCACTCTGTCAGCAGTGGCACAATCTTGGCTCACTGCAACCTCCACCTCCCAGGTTCAAATGATTCTTCCGCCTCAGTTTCCCAAGTGGCTAATTTTTGTATGTTTTTTAAGTAGAGACAGGGTTTTGCCATGTTGGCTGGGTTGGTCTCGAACTCCTAACCTCAACTGATCTATCCATCTCAACCTCCCAAAGTGCTGGGATTATAGGCGTGAGCCACCACGCCTGGCCCCAAGTGGTATTTTCACTATTTTTGACTTCATGAATGTTATTTATAAGTTCTCCAATTTTGTCATTTTATCATCTATTTTCACTTAAAAAAAAAAAAAAAGCTATGTTTTGAGACGGTGTCTCACTCTGTCACCGAGGCTGGAATGCAGTGGCAGCTATCTCAGCTCACTGCAACCTCCGCCTCCCAGTGTCTCCTGGGTTCAAGCAATTCTCCTGCATCAGCCTCCCATGCCTGGCTAACTTTTGTATGGTCAACACGGGGTTTGACCATGTTGGCCAAGCTGGTCTCAAACTCCTAATCTCAAGTAATCCGCCCACCTCAGCCTCCCAAGTGCTGAGATTTCAGACATATTTTCACTTCTATAATCAGAATCTTTTATAACCAGAGCTTTGATGTTCTCTCCTTCTCTTCTTTCAAAGCTCTCTAAAAGTCGGTGTGTTTTAAGGATGACTGCATTTAAAAGACAAGATGTAAGGCTGAGAAAGCAACGGGGTGTTGGGTGGGCAACATAAATAGCTAAGTTCATCACTGTGTGAAGCCCCTCATGACCAACATGACTCTTCTACAGAATGTATTTGTAGAAAATCAGTTTAGGAGTTACGTGTCTGAGAGTCAAACAACAGACCTGAATGTTATTTAGGGGAGAGGAGGGATTCCTAAGATAATATTTTTAAACATCACTATACAATCCCTACTTATAGTTCCTGCTGATATAGTCTAACTGAGGCTCAAGCACAAGTCCAAGGCACACAGAAAACAGATGATCAAGGGTCTCAACACAAAAGGAAGTGGCCCATGCAATGGCTTGTTAACCATCCATCCCTTGTTGCCTTCAGACCTCAGACAGGTATCACCTTCCAACTCAACTATTCACTCTTTCCCCAGGGAAGAGGAAAGAACGTGATGTCTCTCTTCCAACAATACAGAAGACCTTCACTTGGTTCCCCACCTACTATTCTACTCTTCCAACCTTGTTGATAGAAATGGGGACAACAGTAGAACGAGAAAAGGTAACTCCAACCTAGGCACTGCTCTCAGTGGTATCTGAAAGATTAAGAACTTGCTTCTGGCCACCACAACATCATATAGCTACAAGATTTTTGTGCTTTTACAAAGGATGTTAGTATTTTGTAACACGAATCATTTGGTTTTTATTCTATGCTTAAAAATGTTCAGCTATAGGTATTTTTATTAGGACACAAGTGGGGATGGAAAATTATAGTATATATACCATAGTATATAATAGAACTAATTGGAGAAACTAATTTAGAACTTTATTCTTTATTTAATGGTTCTCCAATAAAAGAGTTAGTACTCACTGGATTCTAAATCTAGAAATGGATATCCAAATTTAGGGGAAGAGAAGAGAGCTAGGAAAAGCCCTAGTTTGCTTATGAGCCCTGAGTTCTAGTCCAAGTTTGCCACCTGTTGTGAAATTTTATTCCATATGACTAAATCTCTCAAAGGATATATGGGAGAAGTATTAGATAATTCTAAAATGAAACAAACATATACATTTTAAAATCAGGACTTAGTTCATAGTACAAATCACAGAAAGACAACTAAGTCGTGAGAGGCAGTCACTATGAAACCAGAAGAAATAATCACTGAATACACAAAGAAGAGGTCAGATTACAAAAGAGCACATAAAGTATGAAAATGTATGCATATAACATGTATGTATGCAATTGTGCATGCACGTGTGTCACATATATGGAAAGAATAAGGTTTATAAAAACCAACTAAGTTAACAGAAAAAGGCTAAATTATATGGTTTCCTCTCATCAAGTTAATAAGGAAATAAAACATTCTAAACAGTCGGGCATTTATAAGGGAATAGCTTTTATTATCAAGAAAATATATTTTTATTTAACTCAAGTCTGTTTCTACTCCGATAGTTTCATCAGGTCAGAAAGGCAGAGCTTTTAGTAAGGTGGGAGGAGTAAAAGAGGGGCATGTATAAGCTGAAAAGGTGCACAGGTGAGTGTGTTCACTGACACACATCTTATCCCCCTAAAAATCATATTTAAAATGTATACAAATACATCCCAGGAAAAAGTAAATCAACTAATCAACTCTAAAAATCCTTCATTTCTACTTATAAATGACACCATGCTGACTATATATAAGGTTAAAACAAAATGTTGTCTCTGTTTACTTTTCAGTTTGGTGATGTCTGACAAAGAGGTGGGCAAGAACTTGTATCAGCCCAACAATGACTATGTGGAGAAGTGGCAGTGAGGTAACTAATGTGACAGGTATCGTAAGTTAGCAAGGGAAACAGTACTGACATACATAGGCATTCAAAAATACTGTTCAATGAATGTACAGAGTATGAAAATTCACTCTCATAAATTCTTTTGAGGTTCGAGACTGACTGCTAAACTACTGCTAGCATTTACTGGGAATATTTCATCCCCTTGAGGGCATTACAAAGCCCTTCGCTCTCTGGCAAGTCTGAATAGCTTTGGACAAAACAAAAGGCATTTAAAAAGGAGAGGGCGAGACCAGCCTGGGCAACACAGTGAGACCTCACCTCTATTTAAAAAAAAGAAAGAAAGAAAGAAAAATTAGTTAGGGGGCTTGGTGGTGCACATCTGTAGTCCCAGCTACTCATGAGGCTGACATGGGAGAATCTCTTGAGCCTGGTAGTTTGACACTGCAGTGAGCTAAGGTCACACCACTGTACTCCAGGCCTGGTCAACAGAGAAAAGCCATATCTCCAAACAACAATAACAAAAAATGGACAGGGGAGAGGGGGAAAGGGGAGGGAAATGTCTGCCTGAGATAGTTGGGGCTCTTCTGCACATTTCCCCACTTTTTAGTATTAAGACCCACTCAGTGTCTACTCTCCTCCATATTACAGGTACAGACATTAAAAATGAGCCTAATAAAATGTAAACATAACTAGAACATGCCAGAAAATATTTTACTTTTTCCTAGCTACATACTATGAACACTCAAATGAAATGGATTTCTCACAGTACATGACACATAATGTATTACATATGTGTGGACATATATATACAATCTATATATATTAGAATCCATTTCTTCAGAGGATCTCCTATGTGCCCTGTACTAGAGATACAGTGATGAAGAGAAAACAGACATAGTCTTTTTCCCTCATGAAAGCGTAGCCTAATGGGGAAAAGAGACATTAAATAAGCAAGCAAGCAGGAAGCAAACGAAAAAAATACACATTCACATACATACCCCTCAATACATGTAAAATCACAAAGAAACAAATAGAAAGACGCAAGCAAATCCAAAAGGGTAAGAAAAGGATACTATGAGTGAACAGATTGTTGAACCAAGAGGCCTGAAGAAAAGTCACCTGGTATGAGGAGTTCTAAGCAGAGAGGGGGAACAGTATATACTGAGGTATGATGCAAAGAGGAAGCTTAGTTTGGTGGAGAAAGTGAAAAGCCACTAAAGTATAATTTAAGTTTCACTGCAACACTAACCTCAATTTCACGAAGTTTGGCTCGTTTCTCCTCACTCATTTCAGAGTACTTAGAGAACTTGGACTCAGTCATTTCTTCTTTGATTGGATTAGAGTACAAATGATGTTCTTCAGATTTGGAACTCTGAGTATCTTCTTCATCTTCACTTTCTTCTTCTTGACTTTAGAAATAAGCAGAATACACTGTATGTCAAGGCAGCAAGAGTGTATCACATTTTATAGTCCGCATATTTTATTATTCACTGTCTTAGAGCTTAAATAACATAAGCAAAACATAATACAATTCATACCTCAAGCATTTTTTGCAAAATATTCCGTCAATATTTTATAGACAATTTTATAAAACACTTCTTTCCTCACAGAAAAAGTTTGAGCTTTAACATAAACATACTTTAATAGATTCTGCTTATGTTAATGCTGTGTGCCTTCCATTTGCAACAAACTTTCCTTGCACCCGTTAAATGAAATGAATAATCAACAGTTTCTGCATACTTCACAGTTCAGAGTGATTTCAAGAAGCTTTATGTTTTCCATTCCTGAGTTACTTCACTCACATTGTGAGTAACAATATTCAAAAATATTGTACGTTCTCATTTATAAGTGAGAGTTAAGCTACAAGGATGCAAAGGCATAAGAATGATACAAGGGACTCCTGGGACTTGGAAGGATAGGAGGGGCTGAGGAATAAAAGACTATATATTGGGTACAGTGTATACTGCTCAGGGGACAGGTACACCAAAATCTCAGTAATCACCACTAAATATCCATGTAACCCAAAACCACTTGTACATCAAAAACAATGAAAATGAAAATTTAAAAAAATAAAAAAAGATTTATGTGTGCCTTTAGTAATTTCAGCAGAGCCTATAATCAATCTAGAAAACACATGAGCTTGAGTCACAGAGTTATTAGGAAATAAGCAATACAGCTAGTAAAGACCTTATGTTTAGCACATAACCTTAACAATAAAGCAATGTATACATTTCACATATTAGCAAATATAAGTATTCACATTTTAGTTGATTCTGAAAGTTGCACTGGTTCTGAGTCAGACAAGAATAAAATAAAAACCTGAAAGATAGTCATGAGTAAGTCACTTAGGATACAAAGAAGAAAATTTTTCCTGTCCTTCCAGAAGCAGTCTAGTGGAAACACAAACAGGCAACTATGTGTAAAGCTGGTCAGTCATCAGTACTAGTACAGGTGTAACAAAGTGTTTCTGAAGCACAAAGAATGAATGGGTTTTTAAAAAAAAATGTTTTATATTCTGGGACTAGGTGGTGTGTGTGTGTGTATATTATTGTCAAATAAATCTGGGCAAAACAAGATACCCATGTACAAACAAACTCAGAATGTTTATGTATATACAAACAAAATTCCTTACAAACAATGTTGACTGTGATAACAACATTACTGGCATAACAGAACAAATGCTATTTTGCCTTTGAAACTTGAACCTTGCAAGCCCTTCTATGGTTAGTATTTGGGTACTAAGTACATTCTACAATAAGCAGAAAGATTCCTTTTAATATACATGTAGAATCATTCCTAATAATGTAAAAACAGTTATAATCAAATTCTTTCCAAATAAAGTTTAATATAGTAAGACTTTCATTGTATGAGAGAAAAATTTAAGCCAGGCAGATGAAAAGAAAGTGCAGTCAATTCGGAATCGGAAAAGATATAATATGAGAAAAATCTGATACTAGCTTTTAAATTTCTCACCTACTGGCCCTTTCTAGACATTACTAAACTGTTTTACTAACTTCATCTTCAGAACTCCACAAATCATTAATACCACCGTTACAGGCTCAACTCAATACCTATATTATTAGTATTAGGAATCCTAAGTAAAAAACAACAGTTAAAAAATATTCTTTTTGGAAAAAAAGAATATTTTTACCTAATATTTCCATTAATTTGTCAAAAATTTCCTAAATATAGTTTTTAATTTTTTTCAAACACAAGAATTTCCTGTTTTATGGTACATAAAATTTTACAAGTGTTTCAGATGCTTTTAAATCACTGAAGTGTGTGTGTTGTTTATGTAAACAGGGATGTTTACTGAAGAATTATTCTAAGAGTCAATAAGGACGTGATTTCATTAAACTGAGTCACAGTTACTATGAATCAATAATATAGCAGATATTGATTAGTTAACCAATTCTAGTCTGTTAAATTTCTTTTTTTTTTTTTTTTTGCAATTTCAAATATTCCTTGGTAAACATTCTTGTATGTTTACCCAAATGTCTGCTTTCAATCATAGATGAATACAGAATGGGTAAATAGATGGATTAAAATGGAATAATATCATTTCAATCATGGATGAATACAGAACAGGTAAATAGATGGAATTAAAATGATAAAGGTGTCACAACAGTATGTACAATAGTATTACGTCATTCATGTTCAAATAGCTATCCATGTTTTTATTTACACAGAAAGGGTCTAGATGGCTGAACAAACATTTAACCATAATACTTGACTTTTAAAATTCGCTCTATTCATGATTTAAAATATGTAAATATTTTAAATTACTACTATAATTTTTTCAAGGCCTAAGCAGTTTTTCTCAACTGGTTTTGGCCTTAGCTTTAGTCACAATTTGAGGTTCAAATCTTATCACACAGCTTATTCCTCTTGTTCTTTTTTTAAAAAGACATGCAAGTTCAAGATTCTAAATTCATACAGTATTCAGTACAAATGAAACTGCTTTTGTAACTTTTCTCCAAAACGTACTTTTTTAAAAGCACATTTCTGCCACAAATCACAATATTGCCACAAAATACAGTAATTACTAGTTACAAAATCAGCCTTAAGTAAAAAGGCATTTCTGATTCAGCCACTAGAGAGTAGTAGTGAGGCATGAGAATGCCCATATTCAAGGATCAGAAGCTGTATGCGAAAGGTTTTTTTTCCTTGCTTTGTACTTTCTACTTTTTTACATTATTACGATTTATCTGGAATTCCTAAGAAAAATGAAAAATCTAAAATTATACTTCTAGTGATCCAGGCTTCCATCAATGTATGATTATTCCAACATCCATGTTAAAATGTACTCATATTCCAAACATTAACACAAATATCAGTTTTACACCAAAAACACTAATACCTTTATAGAAATAAAACTAATGAAACAACACTTTTTTTCAGTTCAATGACTTTTCTACCCTGCCTTCCCCCCAAATTAAACAATTATTTTGATGAGTACATATACTACTTTTAAAGCAGTGATTCTAAAATGGTAAGATGCCACTGATAGGATCATGAACATAAAAAGGGTCCAGAAAACCACTTTTTTAAAGCAAACTGAACCAAACTGTTTCCAATTTGTGCATTCCTAAACAGCCTCAGATAGCTATTTCTAATGGCAAGCCACATCTATATTTTGTAAATATTTTGTCATAATCACTGCTGACTTGTTCTAATCATACCAACATTTCTGGAAAAACGTCATTGTAGACAGGTTTTTACCATCATATCAAACTGTGTTTCTATAACCTGGGGATTGATCACATTTTCCCAACAATCCAAATGCCCATTTATTACATCCACACAAATGCCCATATTGTGCTAGGACACACCAGCTTTCTCTTTTTTGAGAACAATAAAAGAATGCAAAATTTATAAAGGCAGAAACCTGCGCTGTGTGTTTGTGATACCGTCACTTCCTACTCATTAAAAAAAAAAAAAAACCCCCATTGCTATTTTAAAAAGTGTCAAGTACTTCCTAAAAACTACCAATACAAATTTGCAAAAGAATTTGAGAGCAGAGATGCCTACAATCACAGTGTCAAATACAAAAACAATTTTGGGGTGTAACAAACAGCAAAATCAAAATTATTCTTTCTCCATATTTCAAAAGAAATTTTTTTTCCCCTCTGTATTCATTCTTAGTTCTTCTGAAAGGTTTACATTTAAATAACACAATCTCCCTACTGCAATATTTTTCTTAGCAATGTACAATCCAAAAGAAAAGGAGTATAACCTTTCCTACTCACATTTTACAAACCACTTTTTGTGGAGCCCAAAACAGCATTTGATGGCAAAGGTTTGAAACAAATGCAGTTGATCAATTAGTAACTACACAGTGAGAATGTAACCTAGCATAAAAAACTCAAAAGCAAAATGAAACCAGATGCATCAAGACCAGAAAACAAAAGCTCTTTTATTCACTGGAAAACCAATGGAGAACTAAAAATAATCCTCTCACAATTTTTTTTAACAGTTAAGTTTTCCACTTCGCTATTATTTCAACTACATGAAAAGGGGAGTGTATATGAACAAGAAACAGTATATTCGAAACTTAGATTCTTACTTTTGATTTTCTTCTTCTTCTGATTCTTCATGCTGGTCAAATAATTCCCATTTAGAAGTTGTAACAGCTGAATGGAAGGAAAAGGAGAATGTAATTCCATGAGGTAAACTAGCATTTTTGCAGTAGCACAGTGGAAGCTCAAGCTTTAGAACTGAAAAGTTTGTATTACAGAAGTTTTTTTTTAATCTATGTTTATCAATTCTCTAAATGGCTATTTCTACGTGCCAAATCTCTTTCATCACACCAACAGTATAATTCAAATTCATGAAGTGACGAATAATGCCATTCTTATTTCTGTGCTGAATGTTAAGATGTATTTCATTAGAACCTAAAAATAGTAACAATTACAGATTATTGGCACTAGGATACAGGTCTAAGTAAGTGTGAAAGGCAGGTCTAAACGGCATCTAATCAGTCTAGCATTATGAGAGAGCCAAAGCTTGGTGAAAGCTTGGTTTCTCTGAAACGGACCTCTGCACATTATAGGTACAGCTTCCCATCTACGTTTGCTACTAAAATGCCTTAACCTAAAAGCTTTGCAGTGGTATCTTATTATTCTCAAAGCTTCCAAACTGAAGGACCTAAGAAAATTGTAACAGCAACACCAATCACAATAAAAGTGTACACTAGACACAAAATACGGTAACACTGAGTATTAAGGTTAAAACATGTTATAAAACATAAAAGGAAATTATATATATAAGCACACCAATAATTAATTTATAAGTACTTAATTTTAAAGTATTTATTTTACTTTTACTTACCCTGTGCTTCCAATTCAGATTCATCCACAGCTTCCCATTTTGATGGGGCAACTTTAAATATAGGCTCATTCTTCTTTGAGTCTTCGGTTGCATCCACTATTAGGGAAAGATAAGCCATTAACCCTGATGACTAGGGGATGACCCGAAGTATTAGATTCATGGGTATTCACTATATTATTAAAAAGCAAAGTAAAATAAGGATATAGATGGACATACAGTAATACTAAGAACAATGACTAAACCAGTTCTCTGCATCTGAGGGCCAATTTTTAACAATATATATTGTATTAATTCAGGAAATACAGGTTAGTAATATATCAAGCAAGTGAAGAAGTTGAGAAGTAAAACAAATCTTTAATACCTTTACCTAATGTTTAAAATACAAAACTGCATACATTATTCAATATTTAAACATATAATTCAAATGTACCAAAGAGCTGTGTATAGTTCCTATTTTCAAAATGATTTTAAGCAGTAGGAAAACTGAAATTAGGTTAGAAAAATTAATAATAAACACAGAACTGATAAAACCAGATGCCTAGGATTATGCATAATTTGCTTATAATTTTCTGACAATTAAGACAAAAAGAGAAACCTACTAATATTTATAGGAGGCTGATTGTCCCAATAAAATGTGACCAGAAAAAAGGCTTCTAATATATTTATTAATACAAATAAATGTATTACTGGGTATTAGAATTTTGAAAAATCAGAAATAAAAAAGTTAATAATTTGATACCTTAATGAAAAACTATAACCTTTTTCACATCACCATGTATGGGAAATTAGAGTTTTGGTAATCAACCTTATTAGCTAGATTTAATCGTTTTCAAATTGGAACTTACAAGGCACTCCATCAAGATCATCATCAAGACTTTTTATAGGGACTCCATCAAGATCATCGATGGGAGTAGCATCAATAGGAATTCCATCTACATCTTCCAGAGGTGCACCATCAAGCTCTTCCTCGATGGGGGCACCATCAAGGTCATCTGGTACATCCTATAGAAATGTGTACTATTATAACATGTTCCTTTGCTTGCTGAAGTCACATTGCTTATAAGATTAATTTGTAATCCAGCCAAGCCAGCATACCCGGATACCCACACTCCAAGGTACAATGTAAGAACATAAGGAGAATATATTCTATCACCCAGCTTGCTAAAGGAGTAGTCAGTTGTGTATTTATTTAATGTTTGCCAAGTGCTCATTGGTGCCAGGTACCATGTGAGGAAATGATGAGTAAAAACAAGTTTGGGTTCCCTGTTATACAGCCTGGTAAAGGTTTTTGTTGTTGTTTTGGGAGGTGGTGGGAACCAGGAAATCAGATAATCACAACGATATACACTTATCTGTAACTATGATAACTGCTACAGCAAAAACGCATATCATACTATTCGCATAGTTAAGTTTCACTGAAAGAGGTCAGAGAACGCTAAGTTTATGCTTGAGCTGTGATCTAAAGGGTCTCAGGCAAAGAGAAGTCCCAGAAAGAGGAAAGAACATGTATAAAGGCCAATGGTAGGTGGAAACACACATTTAAGAAACTGAAACAAGGACTATGTGGGTTTTAACAGTAAGGCCAATTAGGAAGATCCTGCAGGAGTGAAAGTGAAAACATAATAGCTGACTAGCAAGGCAGAATTAAAGATGAAGAATTCAGTAATAATTTAGGAGGTAAAAAAAGAAAACCAACAGAATAGTGATGTATATTATCTGCTATCATGTGATGCATCTTTTCATACGCACATTTACTTATATAGCTATCTTTAACAAAATAAAGTCATGCTATATATATTGCTCTATTATGTGCTTTTTCCCCAGTATTAATAATATATCATAAATCTTATTAAATAAAAACACTACTCATCAATTTTCACATAAGGACACGAGACAGAGAATTCCTGTTATATGCAATTTTTGACTCCTGGGTTCCAACAATAAAAACCCACTATTTAGTGGTAAACAATAGTATTTTTCACAAAGAAATATACTTCACATATGTAACATAGCACACCACCAAGAAACCTCCATCCCAGATACAAATTTTAAAAACCAAACACACAGTGCCTACCTCTGTTTCCTTTTCTTCAATAATATTTACAAGTCCTAAGAAAATATTTTGTAGTTTGATCAAAAATGGTTCTGGATAAATTGCCCAATCTTCCCATGCTCTGAAGCAAGTCATTACCCGTTGCTAAATAAACAGGAAACACAACAAATTTTTATTTTGGGCTATGTGTCTCAAATTTCAGTTTATGAGAATCACCATCAAGATTTGCTAAATTTGCCTTGAAACTGACAATTTTTTTAAACTTTAAAGAAAATAACTATATATCATTATCGTATTATTTTAAAAATTGTCACCTTCTAATTAAAAGAAAAAAAAACCAAAAATAAATAAAATGAAAAATAAACAGTAACTATCTGCTCTTTATCACCTAAGGTCAGCTCCCATATCATTAGTACTACACATGAGCCACATTCCAGGAAACACTTACATAGAAACTTATGAAAACTGGAAACCTAAGTAGCCAAGTTTTGACCTGAATCCCTTATGGTCCAATGAAGTACTTCCCAATTCTAGGTAGAATTCACTTTACCCTTTATCTTCCCTAAACTTTTCTTTAAATTCTAACTTACAGTCAAAATTTAAGGTCAAAAACTTTTAAAATGGGAGTTGTCTGAATGCCGTAAAAATGGTCAGGCATCTTCCCAAACTAAAAATTTTTCTTAACAATGTCTTCTTTCCATGAAAGCACATTTACTTATTCAATAATAAGTAAAGTACTCCACTTGGCTTTTCTTAACACTGGTCTACAGCTTAAGAGGTCATAAAAAAAATTGATAACAGAATATACTTTCTAAACATGATTAAAATGTAAGTCTTTAATCTAGCCAAACAATATATACCATTATAAAACAAGTGATTCTTCTGGATGTTTTATGAAAAAAGACTAACATTTATAATATTTAAATAATACTTAAAACTAAAATTAAACACCTGACAAAATATCTTTAAAATTTTTGATTTTTTGATAAAAACAAAAATGACAGAATATTAAAAGAGTAATTTCTGTAACATCTAAGTTCTAAATTTATGTCTCATATTTGACCCCCCATCCACTCAAAACACTAGGGCAAAAATAGTAAAAAAATTAACGTACCTTAAAGTTTTCAGATTGTAAATGACCTTGAATTGTACGATAGGTGGCATTGAGGTCTGAAAATATCTGACATAACTTTGTTTCAAAACTGAAATTCAAATAATGCATTCTTTGAAATAAAATCTGTTTAAAATTCCTTTCTCTTTCAGTATACTAGACAATGAAAACCCCTCCCGAACTTAAAATACTTACAAATTAGTCAAAAATTTATTAAAAATCAAGAACTAGGTGTTTAAAACCATAACTGAATTGCTTTAGCTCTTAATACTCTAAATTTTTCTCCTACAAACTCCCCAACAGTCCTAAATATTAGCTCCCTTTATTAGCAAGGAACTTTACACCTAGGATACATTGAACCATCTGGTCCAATTTATTTTATGAAACAGAAATCTTAGAAAAGTGACTCATCCAAGAAAAAAAAAAAAAAAGGCTAATAGCAGACCTAAGAATAGGACCCAGATCACTCAATTTCTTTTCAGAGTCACTTCCTAGGGAAAAGCTTTCCTGTGCCTAATTCATAAAATAAACACAGAAGGAGAGCTCTGGGGTACTGAAGAAGAGATATTCATTAATTAGAATACAGCAACATAACTTCCTTTTGCCTTAGGAAACATTAACAATGAACTAAAATCAATATACTGAGGATCAGAAGAGAATACAGACTCTATAAATAGTTAATGGTATATCTTTGGTCTCTTATGTTGGCCAGTATATACATTGTTTCAATTTATTTATTATACGAGTAGCTAGATATGCAATAAAAAAAGTTATCTTTAACACCACCTATTTGTTCTACTGTCAATAACAAAGGAAGTGATATAAAATCTTTCCCAAAAACTGGCAATTTAGCTTAAGTGTAAGCCAATTTTTTAAAATATCCGACAAACCATGAAGAAATTCAAATTAGTCTTCCCTCAGTAACCCTGAGGGGATTGGTTCCAAGACCTCCCATGGACACCAAAATCCATAGATGCTCGAGTTCCTGACTGAAAAATGACGTAGTATTCACCTGTAACCTATGCATATCCTCCCATCTGTTAAATCGTCTCTAGGTTACTTATAGTACCTAATATAATGTAAATGCTATGTAGAGTTTTCATACTGTATTATTTAAAAAATTTCAAGGAAAAAAGTCAGTACAGACAGAGCTTTTTTTCTGAAATACTTTCAATTTGTGGTTGATTGAATACATAGATACAGAGCCCACAGACATGGAGGGCTGACTATATTTCTTATTATTGGAGGATGTTAACAAAACAATCCTCTTTTCTGAACTCCTTACCCTTAAATATTTTATTTCAGGAATACCATTATACTTACAATTTTCTATAATATGAAGCATTAGCAACTTTGGCTGAAGAGTTGTACAAAACATCAGAAACCAAATATAATCTGGCAATCTATAATACCAAAAGATAACACAAAATAGATTAGTATAAGGCTAATGTTTAGCTATAATTTAATAATGGCTACTAATTAGAAGAGTTACATGAACTCAGTACCACCACAACCATGACTTGGGCGGGGATGAAATTTGTTAATTCATTTACATTTCAATTTGTTTGTAACTTGTATGTTAATGAACCTAAATTTCCAAGCAGAAGTAACACAAGACTGCATGGGAAAAATTTCATCAGTCAAGTTCTTTGTGCAAAAAGGAACCAATTCTAATCCCAAAAGATGGCAACTATCTCCCCTTTTCTTAATTAAATGTTCATAAAGAGAAATGCATTCCCATACCTTTTTAGGAAGGGGTGTCTTTAAGATGGACAATGACTCAGTAATGCAATCCACTATTTCTTCAGCAGCTTCAGCATTATTAAGACAGAAAACCATTGCATCTCCAATATCATTTTTCCTTGGAGTTAATCCCCGCAAGATTTCTTCCAATTTATCCCTCTGTCTGAACATAAATTGTTTTAACTTATAAATATTTAGATGCAATTTCAAATGTCATTGTAGCTTTTGCTGACTGATTTCTTTAAAATCTACTCATATAAAATCTGAAGACTGTAATGTATTAAGTCTGATTTGCGTTGTGTCCCCCAAAATTGTTAGAATTTTTTGAAGAACTTATATAAGAAAGAATATCCTGTAGAACTATTAAAAGATCTCAATGATGTTTTCAGCTTACAAATTAAGTAAATTTAAAATTATGGGCATTTCTTCAAGAGTCTTTAAGAATGCCCCAGTGCTACCATCCCATGATACTGAAGAACTTTCATGTTCTTTACCCCTCTTCTTTGAAGGAAGTCTATTACTTTAGCACTTCTGCCTGGGATTAGGACAGGCTAACTTTTTCTGTAAAGGAAAAGACTCATGCCTGTACAGCGGCTCATGCCTGTAATCCCAGCATTTTGGGAGGCCACGGTGAAATCATAAGGTCAGGAGTTTCAGACCATCCTAGCCAACATGGTAAAACCCCATCTCTACTAAAAATACAAAAATTAGCCAAGCATGGTAGCAGGCACGTGTAATTCCAGCTACTCAAGCGACTGAGGCAGGAGAACTGCTTGAACCCAGGAGGCAGAGGTTGCAGTGAGCCAAGATTGCACCACTGCACTCCAGCCTGGGTGACAGAGCAAGACTCTGTCTCAAAAAATATAGATAATTATTTTAGGCTTTACAGGCCATATGATCTCTATCCCACTGCTGGTATAGCTCCAAAGCAGCCAGACAACATGTAAAGGAAGAGGATTAGCTGTATTCCAATAAAACTTTATTTTCCAAAATAAGAGGCAGCCAGATTTAGCCTATGAGCTGAGTTTGCAAATCCTAGGACTACAGTGATTATGAACATATACCTTCAAAAGCAAATACACTCAAACGGTATAGCACTTCATTGGCAAATGCTCTCATAAACAATGAATGAATGCAACAAGTATTAAGATGTATAGATTGCAGTAAAGGTCACACAGGCATATCTCAGACTATGAGTTTGGTTCCAGACCACTGCAATAAACCAAATATCTCAATACAGCAAATCACACAAGTTTTTTGGTTTCCCAGTGCATGTAAAAGTTATGTTCATGCCATATTGTAAGTCTATTAAGTATGCAATAGCAGTATGTCCAAAAAAAAATGTATATGTTACTTTAAAAATGCTCTCTTGTTAAAAACACTAACAATCATCTGAGCTCTCAGTGACTCACAATATTTTTGTTGGTGGGTTTTGCCTCGGTGTTGATGGCTGCTAATTCATCAGGGTGTTGGTAGCTTAAGGTTAGGGTGGCTGCAGCAATTTCTTAAATAACAATGAAGTTTGCTGCATCAAGTGACAATTCTCAACACAGGGGATTTCTCTGTAGCATGAGATGCTGTTTGTTAACATTTTACCCAGAGGAGAACTTCTTTCGAAATTGCAGTCAATCCTCTCAAACCACGCACTACTTTATCAACTAAGTTTATGTAAAATTCTAAATCCTTTCATTTCAACAATGTTCACAGCTTTTTCATCAGAAGTAGATTTCATCTCAAGAAACCACTTAATTTGCTCATCCCTAAGAAGCATCTCCTCACTCTAATATTAAAGTTTTATCATGAGATCACAGCAATTCAGTCGTGTCTTTAGGCTCTACTTCTAATTCTAGTTCCCTTGCTATTTCTACCATATCTGGAGTTACTTCCTCTACTAAAGTCTTGAATCCCTCAAAGTCATCCATGAAGGTTAGAATTAACTTCTTTCAAGCTCCTGTTAATGTTAACTTTATTTTACATACGAAGAAAAAACTGAAATGGATTTTTAAGATTTTTATTTATTTATGTTTAATAGAGACAGGGTCTCACTATATTGCTCAGGCTGGTCTTGAACTCCTGGTCTCAAAGCTATCCTCCTGCCTCGGCCTCCCACAGCGCTGGGATTACAGGACTGGGCCATCACACCTGGCCCACAAATGTTCTTAATGGCATTTGGAATGGTAAATGCTTTCCACAAGGTTTCTAACTGACTTCTTCCCAGAACCATTGGAGGAATCACTATCTATGGCAGCTAGAGCCTTATAAAATATATTTCTCAAGTAAGACTTAAAGGTCAGAATTACTCCTTGATCAATGGGATACAGAATGGATAATGTGTTACCAGGCATGAAAACAACATTACTCTCTTTGTACATCTCTATCAGAGATCTTAGGTGATCAGGTATATTGTCAATGAGTAGTAATATTTTGAAAAAAAAATCATTTTCCTGAGCGGGTCTCAATAATGGGCTTAAAATATTCAGTAAACCATGCTATAAACAAATATGCTGCCATTCAGGCTTTGTTGTTCCATTTATAAAGCACCAGCAGAGTGGATTTAGTGTAGTTCTTAATGGTCCTAGGATTTTTGGAATAGTAAATGAGCACTGGCTTCAGCTTACCAGGTGCATTAGCCCCTAATAAGAGAGTTAGCCTGTCCTTTGAAACTTTTAAGCCGGGCAGTGGCTTCCCCTCTCTAGCTGTAAGTTCTAAATGGCATTTTCTAACAATAAAAGGCGATTCTGTCTACACTGAAAATATAATGAAGTGTAGCCACCTTCATCAGTGACCTCAGATCTTCTGGATAATTTGCTACAGCATCTACACCAACACTTACTGCTTCACCTTGAACTTTTATATTATGAAGATGGCTTCCTTCCTTAAACCTCAGGAACCAATCTCTGCTAGCTTCAAATTTTTGTTCTGGAGTTTCCTCACCTCTGTTTCCAAAGAACTCAAGAGAGTTTGGGCCTTGCTCAGGATTAGGTTTTGGCATAAGGGAATGCTACGGCTGGTCTGATCTTCTATACAGACCACCAAAACTTTCTATCAGTAATAAGACTGTTTTGCTTCCTAATCAATCATTTGTTCACTGAAGCAGCACTTTTAGTTTTCTTTAAAAACTCTTCCTCTGCATTCATAACGTGGCTTACTGTTTGGTGCAAGAGGCTTAGCTTTCAACCTGTCTCATCTTTTGAGACGCCTTCCTAACTAAGCTTAATCATTCTAGCTTTTGATTTAATGTGAGAGAAGTGAGACTCTTCCTGTCACTTGGACACTTAAGGCCATTGTGGGATTATTAATTGGCCTAATTCCAATAGTATTGTGTCTCAGGAAATAGTGAGGCCTAAAGAGAAGGAAAGATGATGGGAAAACAGCTGGGCACTGGAGCAGTCAGAATACACATTTTTCTATTTAAGTTCATCTTCTTTATATGACCATAATTTGTGGTGCCACAAAACAATCACAGATCGCTGATTACCATAACAGATATAATAATAATGAAAAAGTTTGAGCTACTGTGAGAATTATGAAAATGTGACAGACATGAAGCAAGCACATGCTGTTTGAAAAATAATGCCAACAGACTTGTTTGACATAGGGTTGCCACAAACTTTCAATTTATAAAAAACACTATCTCTAGAGCACAGTGAGTCAAAGCACAATAAAACTAGGTATGTATATATTTAATTCTATACTCTAAAAATGCTTTTAGCCTTTTTTTCCCCATGAGGTATATAGGATGTCCTCTGAACATTTAATAAATATGTTTCTGTTTCTTAAATCAACTAGCTGCACTGTACAATTGCTGTGAGACCAATAATAGCACATACTTCATGATGGCCATCTCACAGCTCACCACACATGGCAAATTAAGTGTGAAAATTATCATGAAGAGGCTTTGCATAGCCAACATTTGATCCCACTAGTCACACGATAGTTTTTCCTCTTTATATTGCATTCAGAGAAGAAAGAATTCTAGAGGTCCCCAAATAGTTTCTGTAAGAATCTAAAGTACTCCAATGCTAAAGAAAGAAGTCAATCATATTTAAGAGATCATCACTAATTTTATCAGGAGAAAATTCAAGGACAATAGGGCACACACCTATACTTGCTAAGATGTTTAAAATTATAAAGCACATGAAAGATGTTGCTATTTTAAACATTCACAAGTGAAAAAAATTTATTTTAGGGTTAACATCTTAATACGACTATTAAAGCAACCATTACAGTGTTTTATCTGAATATATAATAGAAATGAAAAAGATCTTACTCTTCTTTAAGTGCTCCCTTTTTACTAGGTTCCTCTACAAAAGCTTCTGTTTCTTGCTCTTCTGACATTCCATGCAAATATGGATTTAATGGTGGTGGCCTCCAAAAAGATCCATTTTTGAACATACGAAAATCTTCTGTCCGCCATTTAGTTGGAGAATCTCCCTAACAAACATTTAGAGTTATTATAAATGTCTAACAACTCAGAGTCAAAATTTAAAAAGTAACTGATTCTACTTGCCTGCAGAATAGAATAAAGCTTCCACCTATAGTAAACATGGGCTGGTGTCTGGTTTTCAAATAAGAACCTAAACAAAACACACAAAAAAACATTAAACATCATATTCTCTAAAAAAAAGAGCTATCTTCAATTAAGTATAAATAAATGAAAAATACTATTTGCCTATTTAGTTATAAGTAAAATAAAGATCTCTAAAAACCTCACCCGCTGCCATCCAATACCTATCCCCTTTCCCTTACCCCAGCCCTAGACTGCCTAAGTGACTGGCATTAATACTCAAAAGACATGCATCATGCCGAGTCTTATGATCATTTTCATTGATACTGTATCTGGCAATGGAGAGATTTTCCCAATATATAATTAGAAAAGCAGTGATTTTGCACTACTTAAAGAGTGTTAGTATCTTAGGGTACCGTAACAATTCAGATGATTAAGCAATTTCTTTTAAAACTCATTTGTTCAACTGTGTCTCACTTATGATTCTGCCATTGAAAAAGCATAATGAAATCCTCCTAGAGAATGCTAAAAAACAATACTATTTAATTAACCAAATCAAAATCTTACAGAAAATTGGTCTCAATACATTCTACTCTGATTACTACTGCTTCTGATTCCACTGCAGAACTAATCCCATACTTTTAGAACTTTATTCTTGGAAATATTTTTAATTCCAAGAAATTAAAAGTAGTTTTAAAATGCATGGCTGAAGATAAACCAAATACAGTAAAAACATACATTGTAATAATATTTGGCCTTAAAAAGAAATCCCGAGACATGCTATAATATAGATGAATCCTGAGGACATTATGCTAAGTGACATAAGCCAGTCACGAAAGGACAAATATTGTATGACTATACTCATATGAGTTTACCTAGAGTAATCAAATTCCTAAGAGACAGAAAGCAGAATGGCAGTTGCCAGGGGCTAAGGAGCCAGAGGACTGAGGAGTTCCTGTTTCACGGCTACAGAGTTTCAGTTTTGGAAGATGAAAAAACTTCTGGAGATGGATGGTGGTGATCATTGCACAACAATGTGAATGTACTTAATACCACACTTAAAAATGGTTAAAATGAGAAATCTTATGTTACATATTTTTTAAAAATGCACACCTGAACATAGGATTGTTGATTTCTCTGTTCATAATCATAGCTTCAAACATTGGCCCTTCACGTACAACAAACTCTATCATTCGATGTATCAGGGCGAGCAAATTCCTACAACAACAACACAGTTAAAGAAAATGGATTCAGACCTACCACTATATAAAACTACACTTGACCTAAGTTACTATAATTGTGCAGAAAATGATTATTCTGATGGCTAACACCAAATTTAATACCAAAAAAGTAACCTGGAGCATATGTTAATGCCTTGTGCATTAAGAGGGTGTGGGGCAGTGGGAGTAGGGAAGTGGGAGGGGATGGAAAGGTGAAGGAGGGTAGGAAACCACAATACAGCCTCATAATAATATTTAATTTTCTAAATGTCACTTAATTTTATTTTCCAAAAGCAAAACATTAAATTATAAATCACAACTAATTGGAAAGCTGCAAATATTAATATATAAAATCAGTAACTTAAGAGCCTACATATTATATCCATCTAGAAATTTATACACTATCTCAGTTTAAAACAAAAAAATTCCTAAACCAAGCACTTTTGTGGTGCTACTGAAATGTTATAACCATGGCTATAATATATAAAAATGCAAAACTATTTAACAAGTTTAAGGCCTGATTTAATAAAAAAAAAAAAAAAAAAAAATCCATCCGACTCCTGTGTTTTTCTGGTACACATATACCAGATGGAGTTTTTATTAAATCTGACCTTTAATGAGGCAACATCCCTTTGGACCACACTTCAAACTAGTTCACAATTCATGAAATGGAGAATTCTGCCTGTATATTACTTTTTTCCCTCCAAAACAACAGATTGATATGCCTATACACTATCAATCAACAAAGAAATTATGTTGCCAAAGCCTTAAGTGAATGGAGTACTACTCTTTCTAAAATATTGCAAAATGGGGCACATGATGAGATGTCCTTCCCATTTTCCGTAACAATTACTTTCCAATATTTTGCCAAAAATAAACACATGTGAGTAATTTTTTAGTACAGTCATTTTACTGACTGAACTCATTGTAAGTCTTTATTTTTAAAATCTGAGGCTGGGTCCTTAAATTGTGATACTTTATTAGACTCCAAACATAATTTTGGACATTGATCATGGTGTCAAGCAAAAATGACTCAGCTTATTTATAAGCTGCTTTTGATTTCTTATTTCACCAGTCCCCCAGCATATACAGTTGGCAAATAACAATCAGGAAAAGCAAAAGGATATTGGCTCTTGGTACAAGGCACACACTAAATTACACCTTCAGCATTCCCAGCTCAAATTACGTTCATATAACTGCTAGAATGTAAATAAATATACAGTTACAAAACAAGACAGACTTTTTTGGCCCTATAATGCCCTATTTCAGAGTACATGAACAAGAAAATCACCTATCTCATGATGACTATAATTATTTTCTCATAGCTTTCAAGCAAACCTACTTCAAAGAAAATCTGTACATAGTAAAAAAAATTTAAGCCTAAAGGAAGTAAAAAAAAAATTGCATCACAGTTTAAATCTTTAAAAAGGGGAAATTATACATTTGAAACTACTAATTCAACCTCAAATTGTTAAAACAAAAAAACTAAAAGCATTGCTTAATTTTTAATTTAAAAATTATTTTTCTTTCACAGAAGTAATTGCTCTGCAAATATGCAGTTCTTCAGCATTCATATGGTTAATGACATTATTTTGAAGAAAGGGAGATAATGTAAAGTTATGATTCAATTCCAAAACTCCCACTGATATGAGCCAAATTAAAGCTAAGGGAAATTTTATGTATAAGACTAATTACTCAGTGAACAAATGTTACACATCCAGAAACTTGTGTGAATTAAGTCAAAAGCAACTTGACTTCAGTATTAAAGATAGATAAAAATTGTTTAACAAGTTTAAAAACAAAGGATTCATCCTAATGGTGAGTGAAGATTTTCGGCAAAATGCATTCTCAAAATATTGTTTAAAAATAAGCTAAGCCACATGTAAAGCTACTACTAGATATGTGCTTTTTTTTGAATGCTACAAAAATACTATTCTGTGAATGTTTTTATCAGTGGTGAAATATCCACTATAGTTTTAAACAGGCTTGTAACTGATAAATCTATTTTTAGAAAATTAAAAGTTTGTTAAGTATTTTTAAAATGTTTCATGATTATTTAAAATCAAAATCTGACAATTAATTGTTACAACTTGACTTCAAGATTACTAAAGAACTGTAATCACATTCTTCTTCCTTAAGGGATTGTGTTTATTTTAGAAATGGTGACTTTTCTATTAGAATAAAACAGTGTAGTACAAAAAGATGATATGTTTAAAGTGCATTATTTCATTATAAAATGGTAGTTATCTTATTCTGGGCAACAACAACCAAAAAAAAAAATTGTCTCTCAGTTATAATAAAACCACATTTATTGGAGTCGATCGTACCAATGTCTGGTCAAAAACTGTATACTTTCCCAATCCATCCCATGATGTTTTCCTGGTCCCCCGCTGCCGCAGACAGTTCAGCTGGTGTTGCTCACCAAGGCCAATGTCAAAGAGAATTTGGTATTCTTTTGTGTTCATTTATTATTCAACCAGTGTTGTGTTCCTGTGTTTGGGAAAAGGCTTAGCTTGACTGAGCAAGAGCATACCTATAGCATGAATTCTTCTGCTTTAATATAGTGTGTTGAAAGAGAAAAAAAGGAAGAAAGGAAAATAAAAGAATTCCAAATATCTTTGTTATCATGAAAAGAAAGTTTCTAGTATGTCCAGTGTTCATGACAATAACAGGAATTTCTTCTTAAAATCAATTGGGGAAAAAAAAAACCACAAAGCTACGCCTTAAGTAAGGAGAACTCAAACCAAGGTTATATATTAAATGCAGATAGTTCAGAAAGCAAAAAAAATTAACAACAGATTGGGTCAAACTGTAATGTAATCTGAAATTTACGATACATTTAAAACACCTATTTTCCCATTGCAATAGTCTATCATTATTAGACCAACGACTCCAAATCAGAGCTAATAAATACATTCTAACTACTCAAACTATAAACATTCCCTACAGTGCTAACAATAAAAACAAAAAAGGTATTGACATAAAATTTCAAAGTATACAAAAGTTTGTTAAATTTGACACATCCCCCAAAAAATTACTGGAAAGGAACCATTGCTCAGTCAAGATACTACCTTTTCCTCAACACCATTTCTTTTTAAATTCAGAAGGGGATATTGTCTATATTTAGATCAGTAATAATAAAGAAAAACATGTACCTTTCTGTTGGGATAACCACTTTGACTATGGCTTGCGACAGAGTCTGTATATGAAGTCACATCAGATAATAAACATAGAATATGTGAGTATTGTTAACAAGTAACAAGCAAAAATATACATATGCATTGAAAATACTACATATCTAATCACAAGTTTTGCAGGCAATCACTGCATTTGAAGTCATTATACAGTAAGCAATTACATAAATGCAAATGGATGTGTTCAGTGAACAATAAATGTTCACCAAATGCAAAGAATCAGAACATTCCTGCCAGAATGCACACCAATGCACTGAAATAGGTACTACACTGAGAATTATCAGATAAAGATTTTAATTTGTGAAATAATTAACTGTTTGCCTGACCATACAGTTCGCTACTTTGTTCCCAAGCCTTTAAAACCAGCCCTGTCATTTTAAGTGTAATTAATTCATAATAGAACCAACAAATTCTTTTAACTTGAAATTAAGTTGGTTTTATGTTTACTAGAAAGAAAATACTCACCCTTTGCTTTTACTAGATTAACTTTTTTAAAAACCACGTAAATCTTCTCAAATATTCTAATACCTCAGACCTAACTGCCATCCAAACAATAACTACTTAGGAAGTCTTTCTAATTGAAATGTCACTTAACCAAATATAAAGTATCACTTACTCAGAACAAAGTAAATTTAGATACTACACTTAAGCAAATCTGGATACAACACTGGACAAAGGAAAAAAAAACTTAACGAGTGGTCAAAAAAGGAATGGTAGCCACAAATAAAAATATGACCCAGTATTTCAAACATAGGGTTTCCATGGGCTAAGGCAGGGAACACATCTACTTATTTCTTTAAAAGTTGCCATAAAAGAATTACACACACTTTTTCTATAAAATTGTTGAAAAGAAATACTACCACAGCTTTAGTATTTACAAATTAGATTCAGGCTTATGTCCATTTTTTAAATTACCTTCTCAAAATCCTCTTTGTTTTTAGGTGGTGGTAACATAGGAGCATTAGGGTTTTTTAACCGCTCTCTAGGCTGCGCATTAAAAGGCAGTCCGGATGGAGGTGGGGGAAGCGTATGTTCCATCATAGAAGGCGGAATGTATATTGGATGTGGAGGAATAGGTACAGCTTTACCCCAACCTAACTTCATTTCAAAAGACATAATCATTTTTCCTACAAGAAAGAAATGAAAGGTCACTTTGTTAACTCTCAAAAGTTTCCAAATAAAACTTTTCTGGTAAGTTGAAATAATATTAATTTTAGCCCTTCCATTTCAGGTCCATTCCTTCCTAGTTTTTGTAAATACATTTCCAAACCAAAGAAATATCTGAATTTTATAAATGGTTAATAAAATCATTCTTACCATTCAAATTTTTTAAAGCTCTTTCAGCATCTCTTCTATTCATAAAGGCCACAAAGCCACAATTTCTCTCTCTGGCTCTTTCTTCATCAGTTCTAGGCCACATAATTTTCACACTGGCTAACGGTCCAAATCGTCCAAATTCTTGGCACAGCATTTCTTCATTCATCTATTAAAAGGGATAAAAGATTTTTATTATGCAAAAAAGGGAAAAGAAAAAATTATTTTCAGAAAACAAAGTAGTTTTTACAAAACTAAAAGCAACATAGCAACATGCTACAATTTTCCATTCAAGTACCAGGAACTCTACACAAGTAAAATCCCGTGTGGGGCATTCATAAATCATTTCACACTAGAAATATTCTGGTTTATTTATTTAAGATGCCAGGGTGGAGCAGCTCAGTGGATGGAGAAATCAAAATCACTTTTATTCCCCATCTTCCTTTGCTGCATGGTCCTGGATCTAAGTAAGGTGTTTTATAGTAATGATTTATTTAGGCACTTAGTAACATTTTTCAAGCAGGCGTGGTTAGTACATTTAAGTTAAGGAGGAAATATTTACTGACAATGAAGAAAAAAGAGAATCTAATCATCTGTTCTCCCTCTAACACTCAACTACCCATGTAATCAAAGGCAGAGAAAACAAATAGCAAAAATGCAAAATATAATTTTTATTAACAGCCTAACATGTATTACCACTACTACATTCTCCATTAACATAATCAACAGCATCAATGAAGGAAAAGAATTAAAATATAAAATTTTATCTATTATACTAGTTTGCTACTATGAGAAGAAAAAGGGATTCCACAAGGAAACAAGTATGCATCAGAAGTGGATAGTCTCAAAATATGATTCATCACTGGTCATACTCTATTTAATAATAAAATCAGCACCTAGTAAAACACTGCATATTCAGAGTTCAATCTCGTTACCAAAAGAGGAAACAAGAATATGTGGCAAGACAATCTGGGCCATACCAGTAAGTCTCAGCTTTACAAGACAACTCTAGACTATCCAGTTCCATCAGATTTGCCAGCTTCAGAATCTTGATTTTATTTGTTTGACTGACAAAGTAGTTTTCTTCCAAAAGCATAAAGCGTATCAACATTCATCTTACTCAATATTACCTGTGGATTAATGTTTCCAAGGTATAAATTAGTAGTGCTTGGATCTCCTACATCATGTGAGCCAGGTGCGTAATCATCAAGAACTGGGGAAATAAAAACATAATTATAACCTGCAAAATACAAAGTTGGGACAATTTATCGATAAAAAGAGCAAAAAACTGTATTACCACCAGATGATCTATTTCTCCTTGAAGGCGCGTCCACTTAAAAGGGAGGAAAGAAAACAATTACTAGTTTTTAGAATACAGTAGTCCCCTCTTATCCTTGTCTGTTTTTCCCAGTTTGTTACCCAAGGTACAGTAAGATATTTCTGAGACACAAAAAGACCACATTCACATAACTTTTTTTTTTTTTTTTTTTTTTTTTTTTTTTTGAGACAGACTCTCCATCTATAGCCCAGGATGGAGTACAATGGCATGATCTCGGCTCACTGCAAACTCCGCCTCCTAGGTTCAAGTAATTCTTCTGCCTCAGCCTTCCAAGTAGCTGGGATTATAGGCATGCAGCACCATGCCTGAATAATTTTGTATTTTTAGTAGAGACCGGGTTTCACCATGTTGGCCAAGGTGGTCTCAAGCTTCTGACCTTAGGTAATCTGCCCACCTCGGCCTCCCAAAGTGCTGGGATTACACATAACTTTTATTTCAGTATATTGTTACAATTGTTCTATTACTTATTGTTCTATTACTTCATCTCTTACTGTGCCTAATTTACAAATTAAACTTTACCACAGCTATAAACATGTAGGGGAAAGGATAGTACATATCCATGGTTTCAGGCATCCACTGATGGGCCTTGGAATGTAACCCCCCGTGGATAAGGTGGAAACTACTGTAATTAATCAAAAACATACACATTAAAAATAAATGTCACTTACTAGAACGACGCTGACCATCAGAATCTGATTGAGGAGGTTCAAATCGACTTAATCTGCCTTTTGTTTTATGTCTCTCATCACGCTCTTCTTGAATTCTGTTGAAAATATTTACAATCACTTAAAAGGAGCCAAAATTTATTCATTCACATTTATGAATAGCACTTATCAAATTACTATCATCAAATAACTAGAAATATATGTAACTAAATACTGGTACTGATAACCAAGGTTAGAGAGTCCCTCAGCTATACTACAACCATGAAGAAATTTCTGATATATCACACTACCAATGGAATACAAAGCCTACTTTAAAGGTGAGGAGGAAATTCAACACTAAAACCACTGAATTTGTTTCTTGCTAAGTCTGACTGCCCCTCACTCCCATCCTAGTGAGTATACTGTTTCCACTGCAAACAGGATTCTGGACGTTAAATACATCAATTGAACTGAATCTTCATAATGCAAACAACCCAGGTGCTGGATTAAATGCTAATTTATTTTCAAAGATACCCCACAAAATATCATCATAATATCTAAAACAATCTCATAGAAAATTGGCTAACAATAACTGGTACAGTATATTCTTTATACTTGCATCTGTTTATGTATCAGCTCAATACACCTATGATAATTATTCTCCACATTATAAAACTTACTGCTTTAATTCTTCTTTGAAGAGCTCCAAATTGCTTTTTTTCTTTTCTTTCTCTCCTTTTTTAAGTGGCTATAAAAGATACGTACGACAAGTTATACTTCAAACAAAAGGTTAAGCAAAACTAATGATTCAATAAGAGCCTTTTTATATCATTTCAGTACAAATTATATGTTCTAATTATTTAAATTAAAACGAAAGAATGCTGGCCGGGTGCGGTGGCTCAAGCCTGTAATCCCAGCACTTTGGGAGGCCGAGGCGGGTGGATCACGAGGTCAAGAGATCGAGACCATCCTGGTCAACATGGTGAAACCCCGTCTCTACTAAAAATACAAAAAATTAGCTGGGCATGGTGGCGCGTGCCTGTAGTCACAGCTACTCAGGAGGCTCAGGCAGGAGAATTGCCTGAACCCAAGAGGCGGGGGTTGCGGTGAGCCGAGATCGCGCCATTGCACTCCAGCCTGGGTAACAAGAGCGAAACTCCGTCTCAAAAAAAAAAAAAAAAAAAAAAAGAAAGAAAGAAAGAATGCTTTTGTTATGACTGAACTTCCCTTCCCCTTGCTCCAAAATAGTAAACAATTAAATTATTAATATAATTAAACAATTAAAATGACAACCAGTCAGGGAAATTAATGAACAAGTGGTAACTGAACTGCCATGGAAAAATAACTGCTAAAAATGCACACTCTTCAAAACAATCACCTTTGGAGGACATCAATTAGTGGAACAGTAAGTAAAATCTTTGCAATCCTCATTTAAAACTGCTTCTTAAGCTGCTTCTGGAATCCTTCTTTTAGAAGTGCCAACATAATTTAATAGGGAAGAATAATCTTTTCAACAAATGGTGTCTGGACAACTGAATATCCACATGTAGAAAAATGAAGTTGGACTTCTACTTTATACCATCTACTAAATGTCCCAAAATTAACTCGAAATGGTTCATGGATCTAAATGCAGGAGCTAAAACTATAAAACTTTTGGGAGAAAAACACAGGAATGAATCTTCATAACCCTGAATTATGTGATGGTTTCTTAGCTATGACACAAAAAGCATAAGTAAGAAAGAAAAAAAACTGATAAATTGGACTCCATTAAAGTTTAAAACCTCCATGCTTCAACCAAGAAAGTGCAAAGACAACCCAGAGAACAGAAAACATTTGTAAATCACACAGCTGATAAAAACCTTGACTCAAGAAGATGTAAAATATTCTTACAGCTTAACAACGAAAATACAAATAACCCAATTAAAAAGCGGGCCAAGTATTTGAATAGACATTTCTCCAAAAGATTATAAATGGGCAATAAACACATGAAAAGATGCTCAATATCATCAAGTGCAAATCAAAACCACAATGAAATACAATTTTACACCACTAAAATGACTAAAATAAACTTTTAAAACAAAAGTTTTTGTGGTTTTTTTTTTTTTGTTTTTTTTTTTTTTGGGAAACGGAGTTTCACTCTCGTTGCCCAGGCTGGAGTGCAATAGTGCAATCTCGGCTCATCTCAACATCCGCCTCCCGGGTTCAAGCGATTCTCCTGCCTCAGTCTCCCGAGTAGCAGGGATTACAGGCAGGCGCCACTACGCCCAGCTAATTTTGTATTTTTATTAGAGATGGGGTTTCTCCATGTTGGTCAGGCTGGTCTCGAACTCCCAACCTCAGGTGACCCGCCCATCTTGGCCTCCCAAAGTGCTGGGATTACAGGCGTGAGCCACTGCACCCGGCCTTTTTTTTTTTTAAACGAAGTTTCACTCTTGTTGCCCAGGCTGGAGTGCAATGGCACGATCTCAGCTCACTGCAACCTCTGCCTCCCAGGTTCAAGCAATTCTCGTGCCTCAGCCTCCGGAGTAGCTGGGATTACAGGCATGCACCACCACACCCGGCTAATTTTGTATTTTTAGTAGAGACAGGGTTTCACCTTGTTGGTCATGGTCTCAAAGTGTTAAGAGTACGACATGAGAAAACTGGAACCCTCATACATTACTGGTGGGACCGTAAAGTGGTACAACCACTTTGGAAAACTAGCAGTTTCTCAAAAGGTTAAACACAGTTACCATGTGACCCAGCAATTCCACTTCTCAGTTTATGTGTGTGTGTGTGTATATATATCCAAGAGAACTGAAAACATAAGTTCACACAAAAAAAAAGCCCATACATGAATGTTTACAGCAGCATTAGTTCTAATAGCAGAAAAAAGGATGGAAACAATCCAAATATCCATCTATTAAGTAATGAATGGATAAACAATATATGGTATGTCCATAAAATGGAATACTATTCCACCACAAAAAGGAATGAAGTACCGACACACGCCACAACAAAGATGAACGATGAAACATTATGCTAAGTAATGAAGTCAGATACAAAAGACCACATGTTGTGTGATGCCATCCATACAAAATGTCCAGAATAGGCAAATCGAGACAGAAAGTAGATTAGTAGGTTGTCAGGAACTGAAGTCAATAGAAAAAAAAAATGGGAATGACTGATAATAGGTAGCGATTTCTTTTTGGGGTGCTAAAAATTTTCTGAAATTAGGCTGGGCGCGGTGGCTCAAGCCTGTAATCCCAGCACTTTGGGAGGCCGAGGCGGGTGGATCACGAGGTCAAGAGATCGAGACCATCCTGGTCAACATGGTGAAACCCCGTCTCTACT